GCACGAGTTAAACTGAGTAAGTTTCTAACAAGAATTATTCTATCACAGGACAAGATTCGTTTTTTTGGCATTTCGAAATGAAGCTCTCATCTTTAGAAGTTGAATTTATGAATAATTTCTAAGTCTTTATGCTCAATTTGAAAAGGGTTACTTTCACGAACATCTCTACTTTTGAAAATGACGTCTCTTACTGGTATAATTTTACAGTACTTCATCATATGGGTGTCTGACTCTGTGAACTATCTTTTCTATTAAATGGGAACAGAATCTGCTAACTGCCTTGTTTCTGGGGAGTGCAGAGTGCTATTTGCGTCATCTTTCATTGCATCCTCTTACCATGAAGCTCGAGTAGAAGTGATCTCCCATCTTTTGATTTCCTCCTTGTACCTTTCCTCATTTTTGTGCAACCAACTCCCTGCCTTTCTCGAATATTCTTTGTTTTGTTCAAAAAGCTCATATACTCATAGGTTTATGCTGCAGAGTTCCAACACAATGCCGGGTGGCCGTGGTAATCGACGAGATGTAAAGCAATTGTCAAAAAATCGCTTTTCTCGGTTGGATTCCGATATTGTGAGCTCCTACGTCGATGATGACGAAGGTGATAACTTAGTTTTTTTTTGCATATGTGACTCTTTTTACTGTTCTTGTTTTTTCCCAATTTGCTTTTTTTATCAGCTTGAATTTCTAATTTTTCTTTTCTAATTTTTAGAAGAACGGCCTCGACCGAGGCAAGGCACTGTTAGCCGCGTTATCAATATGCTTGCCGGACGGGTAATGCATGGTAATGGCGGCAATCGGCGAGGCAGAAAAGATGAACAAACAATGAGAAGTGCTGGCGGAGTTTCCCGTCATACTGAGATGGTCTATAAAATCCGGGTATGTCACTGGGTCAAGAAACTTAGATCTAGAAATATTATTTCGTTCAGATACCATACGGTCGTAAATTTACTGTACCATGGATAATGAAGCAGTTGCATCAACAAATTGAGGATATCAAACCATTGCTAGTGA